TGACTGCAGCAGTCAAAAAAAAAAAAAATAAATATACATATATATATATCAGATTATATTTATTTATTTGATTTTTCGAAATTTTTTATCGAAATGGATAAAAATATGAATTGCAAGAAATAAAGCAAAAAAAAAAAAAAAAAAAAAAATGATTTCTATATCTCTTAAGACGTGGATAAACATACTACATAATATACATATGTATATACACAGTGCAATCCCGATAATTCGAAATAGTAGGGGATCAGTTTTTTTTTTCGATTTACACAGAAATTTAAATTATCCAGAATTATTAAGAACGAATTTCATTCAAATAGATCGAATTTTTTTCGATTTATAGCGATTTTTGTTTTAGTGGGGTACGAATTATCGAGACTCGACTGTATTAACTTTTCCATCTATCGATAACATATTTGAATTTGAATATATCGAAACAATAGAGTAAATACAAATACAATATAATACAATATACAAAAACAATACAATACAAACTTAAAATCGCATAAGAAACCAAATCGATATAATAGATTTGAAAAGTAACAGAAGATATTGGAGATATATTAAATCTTTATATGTTATAAGAATAAAAATGTTTATGTATGCATTGCAAATGCAAATTCTAAGGCTTAGATTTCTTAGGTCTTAAAATTATACTTTTAGATTCAATCGAATTTTATCGATTTACTATGAGTAAACTTTAAAAAATGTTAACAGTTAGCAGTTAACAAAATAGATGAGCATCTCTTTTAAGAACCTCATTATTTAACCATAGATATTCAACAGTTGCAACTAATTTCTCTCAGTGCATTGCTGCAGCTGATATCGCATATGATGACGGAATTTCTGTGTGTTTTAAACTCCTGCGACGACGCTCGATGCAGCAGCAGCAGCAGCAGAGCCGCTGTCGGTGACATATGAGCATTTAAAACGGGATGACTCAAATCGTTGGCATGCTAGGGCAGCGACAGCGACGTCGACGTCGACGGCGACGACGACTTCGACACTTTTGACCAGTTGAGGCGGCGCATGCGCTGTTAGTTTTGCTTCTCGGAATTGTACCTGTCCCAGCGATCGAATGTCCCAAGCCTTTCAAACGTTTCTCTGTCTTTTCGGCTCCTTCTCTTTTATTTTTTTTTTTGGCTTCGGGTCTGCAGCCGACCTACCCACCCCACCTCAGCACCCCGTCGCCCTGCCTAGCAACCAATAGCAATGCAGTTCAATAAAGTTCGTTAGCATGGCACGACTCGGCTCGCCAGCAGAGGCTAGTCATCAAAGTAGCGTCGCGACGTCGACGTCGTCGTCATCGACATCGTCGTCATCGTCGTCATCGTCGGCAGCGACGTTAACAGCTTGGAGCGTTTGCTGCTATCAGCAGTTGCCTTTGTGTTGCTGTTGTTGCTGTTGCTGTTCCCTTTGTGTTGTTATTGTTATTGTTCTCTGTGGTTCTGTGCGGTGCGCGCTTCGCTCGTTCAATTCGCTGCGAAGAGCGCGCGCGCTGCTTTTTTCCGTTTCAGTAATGAAAGAAACTTTGAAAGCGTCGTGTCGCGAAATTCAGTGTCAGTGCTGCAGAGCCAACTGCATGCTATACCGTTACATATAGCGCCTTTACACATATAGATATATATATATATATACATATAAACATCTATAATATACCACAGTGTCCTTATTTTTTTGTTTGTTTCTGTTTTGTGCTGTGCGTGGTAAAAGCTTGGCAGAATGGTGCATCTCTATCAGCGTCGACGCAATCGCGAACAGGTGGGTGGCGTCAGCGATTAGATCACACACCTTTGGCTCCGCTGCCATTACTATATACATGTGTAATACATACGCCAAGTAGCGAATCGAATCGAATTAGCCGTCGCCGCCAACGTGTAACGCATGCCAAGTATCTAATTAGCAAGCAGGCAGCAGAAGCAGCAGCAGCAGCAGCAGCAGCAGCGGCGGCAACAGCAACAGCAGCCCGAACGCATGAATGAACAAAGTCGAGGAAGAGAAGAGCAGCGAGAGGGCAATACAAATAGAAATAGGGAAATGGAATTGGAATGGGTATGGGTATGGGAAGTGGAAGTGGAAGTGACGACAGTGGCGCAATTGAAACTGGAACGGGCTGAGAGCGGGGGACAGTGGGACAGTGTGGCTAGAGAACATTTGGAAACCTTGATAGAGTGAACGAGCTACGAAATTGGGTTTGCTTTGCCACTCGAATTCCGAGAATTGTTTGCCCATCGGAGCGAACTAACAAATATCCAATTGGAATCACATTAGCATACAAGCCTTTTCTTTTCTTTTTTTTTTTTTTTTTTTACCCCACAGTTTGGTATTCCCTTTCACATTTGGGGTACTCGAGGCGATTCGCAGAAATCTATGCGGTTTTTGCGTATATGATATTTTCAGAAAATCTAGACAGCTGCCCATTAGGTTGCTTTACTTCCACTCGTATTTACCTTTGCGCTCTCAATGTGTATATAGTCTAGGTAAATGTATGTATGTATAAGTGTATGTATATACATATACCTGTGCTCAAGTGCTATAAAAGTTATTGCTTGGGGTTGTTCTATAAGTCCAAATTTATACATATGTATGTGTATATATATATATATATGTGTGTGTGTGTGTGTGTGCCGTATGGGCAATACTCGTGATTGATAAGTAATGAGCCGTAGAATTGAGTGTGTGCTAAGATTAAACCAAATCAATAAACGGGAAGCAAGCTAACATATACGAAACTCTATCAATAACAGTTATCTTTTACTCGGAAATGGAGTATAATTCAGATAAATCTACATACAGACATGCACACGTACATACATATATGTCTATAATATTATGATTGCGCTGCGACTCTCAATACTTTCTTTGTCAATCCAATTTTCTTCCTCTTATTTATTTTCATTGATAACTGATACTAGCCAAGCCCTCGATAGCACGTGAGCAAAGTCTTGTCAGAAATGCATTTCATAAATTTGTAGTGTAGAATATATGAATGAATACATATACACATGTATGTATGTATGCCAATATTTCCGGATTCATTTCATCACAATGGGCAGGCAATGTTATGTATAAGTCTATTTATAGAACAGATCAGTGTAAAATTATGGCAACATTGTGTGTAATCCCATAAAGTATGATCAGGAGGAGGATTCAAGTAGATATAGTCCTCAAGCTGTTGGTATATTCACAAAGGCTTGCTATAGAAGTCAAGGACTTGAAATTTGCAATATATTAATATTCCTTTAATATGTCGATAGTATGTCCTTTTGAAATATCGATAAAAATCGATACGTAAACTTGATCCCTGGATCCTTTGTATGTACGTGTCAGTTTTTCGGGTATTCCGTAGTCAAGAGTCCCACAAGAGCAGACTCTTACTAGTTTAATAATTCCTCTCTGGAATTGACAGCCAATTGAGATTTCTCTAACCTCAACATCTGTAAACTTTGGAACTCAGACGTTATCGCAGCTCCATTGACCTCTTTGAACGGCTTCACAATGCCGAGTAACTAGGCAACATATGTTTGTTGTGGGGCTTTTGCCTATCTGGCTAAAGACTCATTAGGCAAATGTATTTTTAATGCTAATTGTGAATAATGGCATCATTTCTCAGCCAGAGTCATCAATCAGTCAATCATCCAAAGCTATTCATTGAGAAAGTAATGTCGCCATTAACGTCAATTGGAGACTGTCTAAAATCAATTAGTCATATTTAATGTGAATGTCTCAATTAATTTAAGTAAATTGTAACGACTAATGTTGGGAAATGTCTACAAAGATAATGAATTACCGAACAGAGATGTAGGACTGTTATATTGTTCTATATATCACATATGTACATATATCTATTAATGGAAATCCCATTTGATATAAGTTTAGCTATTAGCAGTGCTGATCTAGTCAACAAGTGGAAGGTTTGTCTGTATACAGACTTTCGACTCTATCTGTCATCTGTTGATTTCGTATTTGCTCTGCTGTAATTGCCTAGCTATAGCTAGCTGAGAATCCTTAAATTATAGTCTGTGGCTGATCAATGAACTGTTAACTGATAACTGACTTAAATTACATTTACCTGAACTGAAATAACTTTAGTGATATGCAGCTTAAGAGTTTAGCTCAAATGAGTAAGAAAACTCTAGTCGGGGTGTGCCCTAAATTTGATAAAAGAATGGGAAAAGTTCCTTTATAATTTAGAGACTCTAGCTCTGGATTCAATTTAAGAACTGAATTTCCATCATATTATTGATCGATATTATTTAAATGGAATTGGTTATCGATTTTTTGTAAATCACACGTAATTTGCGCCTGTTATTTAGCGACCTATACAAAAACATTAGGCCTCTAGCTCTGAGATGCTCTGAGAGCGAGGCGTTTATACATACAAAGGGACGAGTAAACAGGCAAATGGACAGTTGCCGTGTTGATCAAGAATATGTATGCCGTATGGGCTCGGCCACGCCTCCCGCCATACATACATTTAAACAATGTAAAATTTTCAATGGGTTGAAATGAGAAAAGCTCTGCCGAAATTTGAGTCTCATAGGAAACAACATTTATAATATGTATAATAGAAAAAAACTCTTTCATATCTACACATATAACAAACAAAAATTGTTTATAGCGCAAAAGTCTGAATTATGACCCTGTGTATTATGAATGGAGTCTTCAAAGCGTTCATAACTTAATCTAATCTCTTTAATCACATACATACATACATATATGTATCACCTTTATAGAGCTAAACACTGAATCTAATATGAATGGATCTCTCAAAGAATAAAATTCTATATTATCTATTTTATATAAGTGTCTTTTCTCTCTCTATTAAGAAGTATTTGTCTCTTAAATGTTTCTCTTACAATTCTCGTGCCGCACATTGCTTTTGCATACAAACATCGATCGATCCATTAGAGATATACTACATACCATGCATACATACATACCTACATACATACATACAAACGTGACATTTCAATGCTTAATTGTCGAAATCTGTTTCGCAGGCTATCAAACAATTCATTGATCTCTGCAACAATTTAAGCATCAACTGCAACAACACAGCCGCAGCAGCAGCAGGACCAACAACAACAGCAGCAACAACAACAGCTTCAGCAGCAGCCAACTCCAACTCCAACTCCAATCACTCCTCGAATGCCAGCAAATCAAATTTTCATGTGAACATCAATACACAGCAGCCAACAACAACAACAACAATACCAACAGCAACTTCAGCCACATCATCATCATCATCAGAAGCAGCAGCAGCAGCAGCAGCAGCATCATCATCATCATCGTCGTCGTCATCATTGCCCATTAGGCGTCACATTTCGCACACGACAGCCGTCAAGTTTCTGTATGCCCGTAAATTTGATATACCACGAGCCGTATCTCTCTACGAGCAGCACGAGCAGATACGCCAGCGGGAATACCTTTACAACATTGATGCCAATGTGGAGCCGTTGCGCTCCGAGCTGCAAACGGGCAAATTCACAATATTGGTAAGCATCAAAGACTCTAACTCACTAGCCCATTCTCTCTTTATCTCTTTATCTCTTTCTCTCTCTCTCTCCCCTCTAGCCCGCCCGCACATCGAGTGGCGCGGCCATTGCGCTCTTCACGGCCAATCGGCACAGCCCGTTGAATGCCTCGCATACGACCACATTACAGGGTATCGTCTATCAGCTGGACTGTGCGCTGCAGGACACGGAAACGCAGCGTGCGGGGCTTGTTTTCATCTACGATATGAGCGGCTCCAAATACTCGAATTTCGATTATGATCTATCCCAGAAGATTCTCACGCTGCTCAAGGTGAGTTTTCTTTTGTATTTCGTTGCATACTTTGCGGCTGCACGGGAAATTCCCCTGCGCCCTGAGCTAATGTTTGCTTTGTTTGGCTCGGCTCGACACACTTTTTGGCGCTCGTCAATGTGGGTCAGTGGGTCGAAATGTGCTGTAGCTTGTTAGATATACACACATATACATATGCATATGCACCTATATAATTCATATGCCTATTGATGTCAAAGTTTCGTTTGGGGCATTTTGTGCCAAGCTAACTGAACTGGGTCCGTAGCTCACAAAAGTTGAGTAGAAAATTTGCAGTTATTTCTCTTACATCTGATTGTAATCGAGTCGGAGTTTGAGAGCACAAAAAGTTTGTTTTTGTGTGCTCCATTGTTGCTGCAATTCCAGTTGCCAACTGCTTCAGGTATTCGGTTGCCTTGCTGGATGAGCTAACAAAAGAATAGCTCGGAAATCCTTTTTGCTCTCTTGCCAAGCAGCATGAACAACGGAAGTAGTCGAGCCTCATAATCAGCGTAACAAAAATGTCAGCTCGACATTTCTATATACCAATGTGTATATACGTATATCATATATGAATACACATGTATATGTATATATATATATATATATTAGACAACAATGTGTCGGTCATAACGTTGCCTTTTGTGCGCCTACGCCAAATGCTGGAATCCGCAAATAAGACGTCACATTCTTTCTTGTAACGTAGCTGTGGGTAAGGGCAAACCATGAATGGAACAGCTAAGAGAGGGGGGAGGGAGGACAGGCATGGCCGGGCAGCTGCTGTGGCTATACCTACAACAACAAAACAAGCAACAACAACAACAACAGGTAGCTCGTAATGCAGCACGTTTGCCTGTTTTCCATTTCATTCAGTTTTATTTGCTATTTGCATATACGAGGCTGAGCTGAGCCAGCTATGACAAAGACAGCACACACACGCACACACACACACAGAGACAGAGAGACACACACGCACACTCATAAACTATGTATGTAAAGTAGAGACACGCTGTGCGCGTTTTAGTGGCACTTAAACTTTGGAGAATTCGCGGGATTATTATGCAGACAATGGGATAGAGACAAAACGGACGTAGATAAAAAGATATACACACACACTCACACACATGTAAATATAAATGTAAATGTTTATGTAAATGTGACAAAGATATGCAGCTTAACATATGCTAAAATTAAGTACCCAAACTAAACTGTTACAAATGCCGGCTGGTTGTCAATCAAGACGTTGGCTCCAGCCAGGAGCAGGTGAATTCATTCAGGATAATATCCGAAAAAAAAAAACAGAAAATTAAAAAAAAAAAATTTACATGTCTGTATAAAACCGCTTGTATATGCGAACATCCCACAAATGTGTTAAAAACGAGAGAGAAAAAAAGAAAAACAACAGAAAATAAAAAGCTCAGCAATCAAATAATTTGCGTGGGCAACAAGCAGCGACGCGTTGTCGCGACGACCGCAGCAGCGACAGCGGTAGCGGCCGAGAGAGCCTAAACAAATTGAGAGCACGCAACGCTTTGCTCTCTCTCATAGGTGCGTGCTTGTGCTTAATGTGTTTGCGTGAGAGAGCGCGTGCGAGAGAGGGACAGAGTGTCAGATTGGAAGGTAAAGCAATGCGTGTGAAATGTCCATTGTTGCCGTACTATTCATTAGTAGCCACACAGTGGGACAAAAACACAAAGATGAAGAATATTTGTTGACAATTAAATTGTAGTTAATTAACTGTACAGTGAGACAAAAACAGAAAAAGGAGAAGAACAAGAAGAGTCATTAAAGATGGCAAGTGTATTTATGCCACAGTAGTTGACAATTAATTATACTTAATGTTGAAGTGCATTAGTAGCCACTGCACAGTGGAGCAAAAACAAAAAAGGAGAACAAGAAGAAGAGTCATGAAAAATGTTAAATATGTGTTTGTCGGATTTTTAGACAATTAAAAAGTATTTTAATTATATTTATATTATTGTTTATCTTAAATTAGATCAATTACTGACCAGTGTACCTATGGCTTAGAGCTAACCTCTGAGACTCTCGCACACTCATCGTACAACTTTGTAGCAGTTGCGTATGCGCAACACTTGCCGTCTCTCACATTACGCATACGCAGCATGTGGCTCGAATTTATGGGCATGTGGTCAATGCTAAGTAAAAGCGCTTGTTTATGCCATAAACTAAAGACAAATATCAATATATGTGTGTGCGTGTGTGTTGAAAGGTAGATACGTAAAGATTGCTTGCATATTGGAAAGCGATCGTAAAGAGCTTGATGCGTGGCACATTGCAACAGCTGCTAAACAGTAAACATTCACACAGACAGACACGCACACGCACACGCAGAGACACACTCACGCACGCCTAGTCGCATTGACACATTTTCACTCTCGTTTTTAGCGCGCCGCGCGGCTTCTCTCAGCAAAAGTTTTGCTTGCGCATACTCACACGCACACACACACACACACACACATTCATTCACTCGCGCACTCCCACTCGCAATCGCATTCCAATACACTCGCACTCGCACTCTCAGCTCGTCTCTCGGCGCTGCTCTCGTGGTTAGCGCGCGCCGACGCTTGTGGCTATCTTTCGCTTGATTAACTAATTCAGTTGACGAGTTCTATTCGAACGTAATAGATTGATTATAAGCAACAGCAACTACTGACGCTGCCGTCGCGACGTAAGGCAAAGAAAGTTACGAAATTGACGAAAGAATTAAGTGAGTGCGTCGTGCCGGCTCGTCAACCACCGTTTCCGTTACACCCTCTCATTCTTATTCTTACGTATTTGTCGTTGTCGTTAACGGCAATTGAAAGCAGCGCGCGTAGCTCGGTAGCAAAAGCTTTGTGTTTGTTGTCTTCAGTGTTGTTCGTGTTCAACTTCAATTTTTTAAACACAAACGAGATTACAAAAACAAAAACAAAAAGCAGAGAAAAGCTTTTGTCGTACGTATATCTATGTACATATGCCATTAGTTAGCTGCACTCAACTCAACTCAACTTAATTATCTACTACTTATATAGAACTGATATTATAATTTTTAGGCTCTCACACTTACGTGCATACATACATACCTACATATAAAGATATATGCATGCACATACAGACGTGTTGTGTTCATTCATTGCTCAGTTGGCTTAAATAAGCATATTGCGTCGATATTTTGTGTTATTTTTACAACGTGCTCTTTTGTTGTTGTTTGTTGATGCTGTTGTTGCTTTTACTGTCTGACATTGACGCAAATGTTCAAGTTATATGTGCACGTCTACAAATGTACGTGTGTGTGTGTGAGAGTGAGCGTGTGATTTGCTTGTGAACTTAAAATGCAAATTCAAAGTCAACGCTATAATCTGCCTCAAATTGTTGTATTACTTACATAAATACATGCATATACACACCTGTGTATGTGTGCATGTGCCTGTGTGTACGTATTCCGTGCAGCTTAATTGAATCCAAACAATTTTTGGCTTTTGACGCTTCCGCCTTGACAGTCTCGAAGACAAACGTTAACCATGTGGGCGTTCAAAGCTGGCTGCCAAGGCTAAAATAACTGTACACAATTTACATAAATCAAATTGGCCAAAGTTGTGGTCACACTGCCTCAAGATCATGTGTGTGCAGCCCTTACAAACGGTTCTCGTATTCCTTGCATTTATCCCTGGAGCTAGTATGCGCAGATTGTGCTTGCAGCCCTGGCCTGGAATAACCACCCACAAGACAAATGAAAACAACCAACGGGACAGCTGCAAGAAATGCAACCGTGCAGCGTGCAAAAATAAGAAGCGAGCAACGAAAACAACCCTCAGGTGGCACGGCCTGTGTCGAAAGCAACCCTAGTATCGAAAGCTGTTAGCGGTTTATTTTCGAGCAGGGTGGTGAGCGCAAAGCATTGGCAAAGCGTGCTCTCTCTCTTAGCAAGTGCTCTCCCGCAAACACACACACATGTACCTTTGGTGACGCGCTCTCGCTCTCACACTCTTTCGCTCGCTCGCGTCACTTTCCTTTGCTGTTGTTGTTTGTTGACGGTGGTGGGAGAGCGCGCCTGCGTCAAGAACCAAACGTTGACGTTGGCGTCGCGTGTTGCCGTTATAATGTTAACCGCTGCCGCCAACAGCAGCAGCAGCAGCAGCAACGACGTCGACAGCGCCAGCAGCAGGCAAATAGACGTAGTTCAGCTCTCCACGGCGACGCGCAGGAAGCAAAAGCTGAGCGTTAAACAGTTAATGCATTCAATAAAAAGAAAAACAAGCATAAATACTATTCACTAGAAACGGCACTTGATATTTGTGTTCAACTGAATTCAAATATTTATATAAATCGAAGACTTTTGTGCTTTCTTTATTTTTTTTCAATAATATTTTACTGTGACTGCAAAAAGTGAGCAACGGCCTAAAGAAAATTGTAAGCATAAACGAAACGCACTTGTGTGCGTCCGTCACTCTGTCTCTGTGTCTCTGCCTCTGTCTGTGTGTTAGTGTGTGTGTGTGTGTGTGTGTATCTATATACTGCTGCAAGTGCCACGATTTGTTGCTTAAATATACGTTCCAAATCCAATAAGAGCTGCAACAACAACATTTGATAAGCGAGAAAAGTATCTACAAGTGCAAAAGGGAAGACAGACGCCTGCCCTCCCACTCGCACTCTCTCCCTCTCTTTCTCTCGTGTGCCTCCCTCCCCCATCGGCTGCTGTCTAACTGTAATTGTAACTGTGAGCAGCGTGTGCATTGTGAATTGTTTTGTTTTGTTTGTGTTTTTGTATTTTTTCCTTTTTTTTTTGCAATTTTTTTGCTACAATTTGCAAATGTTTTCATTATTTTTTACATTATTTTGGATGCAGCAATTGTGTAACCGAAAAAAACAACAACAACAACAATAAATAAACAACATTGAAGCGCATTATATAAATAATAAAAAAGTAAAAATGAACAACAACAATAATCAAATCTGAAAAACTAACAAATCAAATTGCCAATTGAAATTGTATAAAAATTAAA